ATTAGCGTAGTGTTTGCCTGAAGTGTGTTTACACACTTCTGTATACAATAATAATTCCCTGAGTATAATGTATAGTTATAAATTATAACTTATAAATGTACACGGTTTTTATTGTATGCAATAAAAATATATTGTGAATAATTTAATTAATTTTACGTACAAATTTGATTAGGTACCTGCGTAGTCTTATAAGTAATACAATTGCATTTCTCTTTGGCATTCATCGGTTTGTATAAATAAAATAATAAAATATATTATAATACAATAAATAAACAATTTAAAAAATCTTGTTAGCAACGACTGCGATCGCATAGAAACTGTCACGTCGTTATCAAGGTCGTGAAACATTTTTGAAAACATTTAATGATAGATACGTTATATTATACAACCGTTATAAAGAAAGGCCAATTAATATAATGGGAGTCTCATAATGGTAAATTTATGGTACGCCAAATATGAAATTATTTATTATTATAATCAAAAATAAATTGATAAAAAAAAAATATATAAATACCTTTGTAATTATTATGTTTTTGTAATATCCAGCAATCCAAACTTATGTATAATGTAATTAGCAGCGATGCAATGTTTTAAATTCTATCTACAATCTACAGTTATTCAAGGCATAGTTGTAATAAAGTACAGATAGTACAGTACAGAACTGCAATCAGTATCTTTTAAAAATCTCTTCAATTTGTTGGTAATTAATGACGTTTATAAACAACGATATCCATATTTCCGATCACAAATAATAAAACTTTAACATTATTAGAAAAAAAATTTAAGAGGGGAGAGGGGAATAAATTATTGCCTTATATTATACACTATACTGTAACTTATACTACAAGTGACTACATTAAAGAGTCAGTTTTTCTGATTTGAGAGTTCAATTCACATGATCTGACCTTTACAAAGGGATGGAAAGATATACTATGAGTAGGGTTGGAATAGGCCACCAGGACACCCGGAACTATCCCGATAGGGTCGTGACAAAATAAGTGACTTTGGTAAATCTGAAAAGATCATATGGGGTAAGTAAATAACCGGAATTAATGACCTAACGAATCTAATACAATACAAGATATAGTTGTTTTGTTACGCTATAAAATAGTAATTTAAGGGCTGCTTTATGCTATTGAGAAACTCTTTAATAAGCCATCTGCACTATATTATTTTAGAGGATCTACAATATATTGTAAAATCTACAGTAAGACGTAGGCATCGGTTGGTCGAAATGAGCTGTCACTTAGGAAACTTGCAATGGAAAGTATTGGCGATAGAAAATAATAAGCTGAAACGGGCCCCACTGTATAACTTTTGAGGTCAGTAGAATAAATATTTCCTCAGCTGTTTTTATTAGATAGTCCAACTCTGACTAAGAATGCTTTAAAATATTTGCCCCAGGATGCCTTAGTATGGTTATAAAAATCATATAAATAGGCCCGAGGATTGCGTATATTTATGCTCAAATCCGAAATACACGGGAAATATGGGTAAAACGATAAAACACGAAAATAAACAATTACGAAGATTTAATTGCAGGATTACACTTTCCCCTGAGTGCTGACTTTTTTTTAACATACCGGTACTATTAAAATGTCTATTATTGTGTGCTATACAGTTATAGGAATCGCATTAAATGTAATTAATTTTATTTTTGCTACACTGCAGAATAAAATTGTCTATTCGATATCTAAGCAACAGAAATAGATAATATAAGTCTCATTCATTATTTGTATTATTTATTGACACGTTTTAAAGCTTATTTTGTTTAATGATCAAAAAATGTTACGTTATTAAAATATTCACTTGACATTTTTTGATTAAAGTGATATAACTAGTATAAAACATAGTTTGCAAAAATTAAAAATAATGAAATCAGTAACACCGAGGTATGCCGTAAATATTTGCCATACTACCCATAATTTTGTGTCTAGTTTTTCCTAATTATTTTGAAAATTCTTTGGAAAATCGAAAAATGAACTGATGAATTAATGCTTCTGGTAGATAAAATTTGATTTCAGATGAAGTACTACACTTGATACATCGGAACAATGTGTATTTTCGAAAAGTGTTTTACAAGCAGACAAAACACATCATAGTAAAACCAATAGATCCCTCGCTACGCTCCAAATCTTAAATATGATCCTCAATGGAAACTATATTATATACGGCTAACGATCAAGAAACGTAAACACTGTTAACTATTTTTTTATTTAGCTTATATCTTAATATATACATTTTGTGTTTACTTACCCTTCGAGAACCCTTTTTATTTAAAAATAAAAAATTAATACTTCACGAGATAAAAACTAGCTTGCGTAATGTTGATCAGCGTGTATAATCGAGAAGTGATATTATTATTACTATTTTTTTTTTTTACGCATGTGTTTCATGTGCAATTTCAATAAAATATATATTATTTTAAAGGAAAAATGGAACGAAGGAAAAATCTACTATATAAAAATAATACGTGATCAAAATTGCTCGAGGGAAAAAGTTTTCAATTTACTGCACTAACGAGAGTTTGTTACTAGAATGTCAGTTTAATATGATTTCGATTTAGAAAGACTTGTACAAAGACAAACTTTCCCTTGTTTTATTTCATCTTTTATAAACGCTATTATAACAGAGTGAAACGATATTAAAGAAAAATAATAAAAAATTACTATTTTGGTGTCCTACATGAGTTATAAGTGTATTAGATATAATTATGGTTTAGATATTAGAACGCATTTTTTTGATATTTTAATACATTCTATTTAGTTTAGAAAATTTAAAAAATTATGATATGCAACAAACATACAAAAAGGAAACATTTTTAATTTTTGTTCCCTTTAAAATATACATAAACGTTATGAAACATATGTCTATGTTTATTTTAATCGAACCAAGTATATTCTTGTTTGGATCAAGAGGAGATTCATTCTATCAACACTAATAATATGTAAAATCTGTAACTTCGAAAAAGATTAATGGAAAAAAACAAAAACAAAACGCGAGGAAACGTGTTTAAAATGAAAATTTGTTTTTACTTTTTAGCCGTATAAAAGTGAAAATAAAAAAGTTTTCCATAGACCTGTTATAAAACGAACCAATTGTATGTAAATCAGTTTAAATTAATACCTATAGAAAAAGAACTTTGATTATTTCCCGTAAAGTAAACCGAATAAAATGTAAAATGTTAGTATTTTTTTTAAAAGAAAATTTGATTTTACTAAACATTTATAAGAGTAGAATTATTATAAAAAGAAATTGATACTGCTACTATTGTGTATGGGAAGCTGAAAATTAAATAAATACAAGGTAATTTAGTATATATAGTGAATACTGTAAGCAACGAAAAATCATTTCAATAGTAAAAAAAGAGATTAGGAACGGATATCGGTAGTTTACAGATAAGGTTAAAGTATTATTAGTGTTTTTTCCCCTTGTAATCAATAAAAATAAAATCAATACATCGTCATCTATTGTAAGTTATTTTTTTATTTTTTAAAAAAAAAGCTATTTCTTACCAGAAACCACCTCTGAAATTAATGTTCGGATCGCTATTTCTGGTAAACTAAGAGTACATAAACAAACACAAAAAAAAAAAATACATACCATAATAATATATATGTGTAATATATAAATATAAAAAATCATTGTACGAGATCTTTAACACGGACACAGAGAATAAAAATAAAAATAAAAAACTAGAGGGATTCTTTTAGGAACAAAACGTTAGAGACGTTAATAGAGACGAACGAATATAGAAAATTACGATAGTTCGGGAATACGTTTAGCAAACCCGGAATTATTTTGTATTAAGCATAGCAATGGAAGAGACCCCGGGAAGAAAAAGATTTCTTGGAAGACGCTATGCGATTATGATATCTCTAAAGATACGTTGAATCTCTAAGTATTGGGTCAAACTAGATTTAAGAGAAGCTGACAGCTCGGAGCAATTGTATGACTGAGTGTGTAACGGGATATGTCGAATAAGTATAAAATCGTAAGTATATATAATGTAATATTATGCTCGCATAACATTTTTCGTTTATATAATTTTACTATTGTCCTTGTGACTAAAAGATTCGGATATACGACACCCCTAGAAAACGCTCGCGGCAAATCAATATACCATGGCACCCCGGTCGGGAACTTCTGCTCTAGCATTGACAAGAAGTCTTTGGACGATCACTTTTTCGAGGGCCCTGTGCACAACAAACACGAACCGCCAACCAAATCTCACTCGAATATCTTACTTCAAATTTAAGCTGTTAATCATTACTTGTGTTTAAAATTTTGGTATTAATTTAACCTTTTTCGATCGTAATTTAAATATTAATACTCGTTGACTGAAGGCAAGCAGTTTGATGAGTTAAATATTTTTAATTAAAATATTTCACTTGCATTTTCACCTCCGTCCATTCATTCCAAAGTCACGAGAGGATATCTAGAGAAGACAATGTTATTATCTCTTATTTATTATTGATATCGTCCGCATTCTCGGACACAAGACCACAATACCCTCCGAAGATCTGTTGAAAGAACTTATAACCTCCTTACTTTATTATCATTCCTATTTTGTCTTTATGTTACACCAACCACTTCCCCTCCCGCGTATTTCTTACTTTTTGTATTATGACAACATAATATTTAATTAATATAAATCTTTTAGTTGATATATTATAATTTGATATTCTATAATTTTAAGTTGTATATAATCGGATTAATGTATATATAATACAAAATTCAAATCCATTAACGTGCAACTTATATAATATGTCTTGAACTTTTGCTAGAGTTATTACTATAATATGGTACTTTAAATAAAATCATAAAAAAATTGGAAAAATCAAGGAACAAAAAATAAACACAATAAGTAAATATAACGTGAAAATTTGATATTAAATTACTGTCGTGTATCATTTTTAATTTTAATAAATTAAAGATAAACCACTTAACTAGAAATCTCTTATGGTGATGACCTAGAAATTAAACATTTCTAAACAGCAAGTAATGTCTTTAAACCGCCGAAGCTCATATACCATACGTCTATCACATAAAAAATCTTTCCATTACTTTTTCTCGTGATGTAATGCGGACTTAGGTTTTACTCTTACCACTATTACGTGTCCTAATAAACACATCCACTTTGTGTGTTGTAGAACCTTTAAAGTCCTTGGATTCGTTTTCCCCATTTCACGTAAGTAACGTCTGGCGTTCCCTTGAAATCTCATTACTGTGCCTTCGTTTGCCTAATACTGAAGTACGGTATGGTGCTCTGTAACCCTATCGAACTTATCCAAAAGAAATCCGTTGAATTCACTAAAAATATTTAATGACCTCCTCGTTCCGGTTCGTCATACTCTTGCACTTGATACCTTCAACAGCCATAGAAACTCGAGAGAAATATTATATGGTTCTTTATAAACTTCTTTACCGATGTTATTTGTCCTATAATATACTTATAATCGTTAATTATAACCCGTATACCTATTCGTATTACACATATACATGTGTAATCATGTGTTTAATCTCGTTCGCTAAAATTCCTATAATATTATTATTTTGAAATAATTTAGGTGAATTTAATCATTTAAATTTTGCTAATATTAAACCTCCCTCCAAACAAAAACAAATCATAAGTACACCATTGACATCTACAAAGTTTTCAAGAATTCATTTCCAGTAAATTAATAATATCATAATATTTTATAATTTATTTTTTGTATTTCTTATGATCGTATTTAGTTTAATATATTATATAGTTTGTTAAAATATTAGTTTTAGTTAAAGGTATTATGGTTATCTTCCATAGTAATCTAGATCCCATTGATTATTAATAAATATAACTAAAATAATATTTTATACACAGCGGTCACGTGGTATCAATATAGGTAGGTACGAAAAAGTTTCACGGTTTAGATTCACAGGTCGTGGTGTGTTTGGACCGTTTTCGCCCAGGATATTATATCTGCAACACCAACTCTCGACCCCCTCTCCCATCTATATATTGGTCGAACCGCGGTCTGTGTGGCGAGTGGCTCGTTTTATTCTACTGCACGCGCACCGAAACAATAATACTATATACATTATTCATCGGCAACATTTCATTTATTGTGTATAGGAATATCTTGAAACTTTTTGACATTTCGTATTGGGTTAGTTTGATACGTCATTTTCTGATATTTTATATAAAATACGATGGGTACGAAATGTCGGATATGTAAACTACAACGCGCGATTGCGGTGTATAGTTTCGTCAGTACAATACGGTGGATAGAAACTTCCCTCTGTACACAACTGTAAAGTAAATCGTTCTGAAAAATGATTCCATGCAAACGTTGGAATTGATGATAATAATAACTTATAGGTACCAACATCAATCGTTTCATTCTACGCATAAAATTTAATATCAATACGTCAGAAATATTTAAAATTATAACGGTCGTTTGCGAGTTTCACAAATTTCAACTTGAAACATTTATTAGTTACACAAAAAAAAAATCTACAATTACAATGAATTTTGTGTAAAATTTCTGCGCATTTTGAATTAGGTCGAAACAAGTTGTTCTACATAAATAAGGTAATAACCGGAAAGATTCGAATACCTAGATAACTCAAAACTAATCAAAATTGTATGGAAATTATAATACAGTATATGTTTATAAAATGCTAATTCAAAGTTTTTTATAAACATTTTAGAAGCCTACCGATTATTTCTCTCTAAATTAGAATTAAACCGAAAAACCAATAATGGATTTTTACAAAAAACGGTCATGTTGCGTAAATTGATTAATTTTTTTTTTCGGGGGATTTTGTACATTTAAAAATCAGGTAAATTTTTGACTATTTACAATAGAACTAAAATGTCACAAGTAAAACAATCAGCGCATATATCTTTATTATTATAATATTTACGAATCGCTTCAAAACATTGCTATTTTTTTTTTTTTTAGATTCGGAGCGTTTAGAAAGGACTATAAGTTTTACTATTTGTGTTATTTTTTCTTTCTTTAGATGATACTATTCAAAATAAAAACTTGCAACAATATCAGGAACGTTCGTTGAGGAATTCAGAAGACTGCACTTTGATTTTTTAGCCTGCATAAAATGTTATAATTGCGCCATTTTTGTAAAATGCAAAAGGTTATCAAATCACTGCCAATAGCCGCCTGAACAGAATTCCGGCCGTCTAAAAAGTGTGAGTGAGACATGTGGGATTTTTACCATGGTTAATTGTTATCATGGCTAAATAAAGAGGTATGATAACAAGATAATAGTGTGCGTCAAAACTGATGTCACAAAGAGTATATATGATAATGAACTACATATTTCATACAAAAATAAACTATGGCCGTAGTTGAGTATCAATGTTACAGTAATGTCATCAAACCTAGTATTTGAATATTAAAATGTAAAGAAAATGATTTCCAGCAGTTCTAAAATTTGATGATTTTTAAAATCATTATACTCGACAAAAAAGTTTTTTGAGTTTTTGCAGTTTGAACTGGGACATCGAATTATTATAAGTCTCAATGCGACATAAATCAGACTTACAGAGTAATATTATTGTTAAATATACCGAAAATTCCGAATGACTGAAAATAAAGAAAATTCCGGTATACTAAACAAAAATGGAATACACCGAAATACCAGTATTCCGTTTTGTACCGGTATAAAGAACTAAATAACTCAGCCCTGATTCAAGATTTTTAATTCAAAAATCAACAAAAATATACATTCTCTTTTATTTGAAAAACTATTGAGAAATTAGTGAGTTAAATATTTCATGCAAAAATGAACTATGGCCGTATTTTAATATTAATGTAACTATAATGTCAACAAACCTGGTATTTGAATATTGAAATGTAAAGCAAGAATACGAATATAAGCGAGCGAACTAAATGAACAATTTTCGGAAAAATTGATTTGATAAAAATGTTTGTGTCCTTATTGAAAAACTAAAATGATGCCTCAGTAAGATGTATAAATGTAGAACCTTTCCTGAAAAGAAATTGTATCCAGTTAGTGCATTATAGAGAATATTTTTTGATTTTCTAAGGAAGTTTTCATAGTTTTCATTTGATAAGTATTCTGTTAATAAAATTATATGACCAAACAGAAATGCTTGAAAATTTAACAAGAGTTTCCTGAAAATTTATACTCAGTAGTGAAAACAAATTTGAGGATAATGTAAACATTTTTTTATAAATTTTAATACCAAATTTTGACAAAAATCATAAATATTAGAGCCTTTCAAAACACGTATAAACAAACTTCACTCTGAATTGTTTTTCAATAGAAAAAGTTTAATGTTGCTTATAGGTATAAATTAAATAAATTAATGTATTCTTCTACTTTCAAAACGTCCACCCTAAAAAAGTGGCCTACTCGTCTTGAGTATCAGATCTTTTTTTATTATTCACTCAAAAAATAATGTATTGAATCATTATCGTTATGTATTAGGTACGTATTTTATTATTGTTTTTTTATATATTATAACGCTGATGTTTATGGAGTTTTGGTTTATGGCGACAGTAAGTATATAGTGTTTCTTTTTTTTTCTATACTCCAGTATATATATTATATACTCTGACAGCCAACAAAAAAAACGTGAAGGAAATCGCTTCATTTCAAAACAAAAAAATAAGAAAATAACCTACATAATGGCACGGTGATTTTGACAACGAGGCTCGATTTGCGGGATACCAGTGTTTGGAAATATTTAAGCACAGTCTCGCCCATAGAAAAGGTTTATATTTTATGCTTCTGCTTTCGCCTCGCCTACAATAATAATATACTAAATCCATATACACATACAAACACAAACACACACACAATGTCCTAACGTTGAATAAGCATGTACGATTCACCAATAGTCTCGATGATGGTGCGAAAAGCCTTTTTTCTCTCTTGAAACGAAATTTACCAAATCAAGTATAATAATATTGCAAAACACAATAGGAACTACATAAAACTAGGCACGTGAAACAAAATAAATACTAATTCAAAATTATCCTGTATCGTAATTATTTATGAGGCATTTTATATTGTGTACTGGTATAAACCAGCAAAGCCATCAACAATATTGTATAAACATAAAACCGAATAAAAATTAAAAAATTACAAATGGCTCGGTGTCCGGACGAAATCCCACCGAATAAAACCTCGCCGCTAAAATCCCGCCCAGACAAAATTGTACACAGGTATTTCTTATCAAATTAATTATATTATTGTTTTTAATCTAAGTTGTATTATAATATCATTCATACGAAAATCTGGATTGTTGAGTTTCAGCAATTTCAGATTTTTCAAAGCACTAATACATAAAAAATCATGCCAAGGATGCCACTGCTGAGTTATTTTTATTAATAAATGTGTGGAACTAGGGTATCGGAACCCATCCAGCGCCTAAACAAAAGTAATCGTGGTCATTCGTAAAATGTTTAAATTTATGAAAATGTCCTCAAAAGTTATTAAATTATTTGAAAAATTCATTACATCCATAAAGGGATATAATGAGTATGTTATATTCGGTGAACATATTTTGTATTTATATTTTTAGGATTTTGACTGAATCACATGCAAAGCCAAATTAAAAAAGTAAATAATAAAAAACCATTTTTGCGAACATCTTCATGTTTATCAACATTTTCTCCAGGTTTATATCAAAAATAAACAAGATTGATTTATAGTTCGCACATGGATGGACAGCTGTAGTAGGTGAGAATTTCGGAAGGTAGAGGAGAAATTAAATGTATACCTGTACGCAACGATTAATCATTGCTAACAAAAAAGCGATTCTGAGCAGAGTTTAGATAATTGCTGAAATATTAATAATATAATTGTTGAATAAACTAATTCATATTTTTAGTAAAATGTTGGTAAAGTCGTATTTTGAAAGTTAGTTATAATCGGTATGTTTAAATATTTAAGTCGAAATAATTATAAAAAAATATTTTAAAAATCTTGTAAACACACATTAAAAATGTAGGTATAATAAATAAAGGTATATAAAAATATACATTTTTTTTTTTTTAAACTTAAATTAGGTTGGAATTCATTAATATGGAAATATTATATATAGGCAGTAGGCTGCAGATTATTATCGCGTATTTTTCAACTTTGGAAATTTAATTTAAACTTTTTAAATTTATTAATTATACGTGGACTTATATTAAACACCATAATATCATAAAGTTTAAATTAATATTTATTTGAATAAATAATAACATATTTGTTATATACAGTAAATTACTCATTTTTCACCGTTAGCCAGTAACGTATTTACATATATATACATATATATTTACATATATATATTGATATATATATATACAAATACAAGGAATGTCGCACTTAATCAAAATACGACACAATCGAATCAATTTAAATGAAATTTCATGTACTGAATAATAATATATGATTTGAAATGATTCTCTTTGAAACTAT